CGTCCACGTACTCGGAACCACCACAACAACGCCCAGTAACTGAGATCAGTCTCGCCTCCACAATTAGCCACAAGCTGCTTCTTCGATAAAAGTTCCAAGACAGCGCGTGTCCTACGGGTCATCAACGCCTCCACGTCCACCACACCCAGCGCGACTCGCACCCAGACAAGCACGATGGCCCCGGATCTGAACAAGGTGCCGACCAGCACAGGCAACACTTCGAGCACGCAGCCAGCTTCAGGCTCCTTGTCACGTCAGACATCGTCACGTCAGGCATCTACACCGGGCTCTAGGCGAGCATCGCAGATGGGCCCCCCGCCGCTGCCTCTCGCATCGCCTGGCGGTACCCTACCACCGCCCCAGTCAGCGTCACATCATGTACATGGCTTTCCGCCTCTCAGCCCCAGCGCGAGCGGCTACGTCCAGGCGAGCGTCGACTCAGCAGGCGTTCCGATGAGACACCCACGCCCGATGACACAAGCAGAGCTGCACTTGGAGCTCGAGAAGGAGCAGGAAGCCGTCGTCAACCGTCTGACGCGAGAACTCTCGGCTCTGCGCGCACACTCTGCGTCTGTAGCCTCCAACACGTCTATGTCAAGCGCCGCCGACTCCTCCGTCGCACACGCTGAAGCTCCCACCGGACCTATGCATCCCACATCCTCGCGCCGCCACCGCAGCTCCTCGAGCGTCTCCCGCAGCGGCCTACCGCCAGGCCACGTTCCACACCGTTACTCCATCTCCTCCCAGCCTGCGACGGGCGATGCTGCCCAGCGCGACCACCGCAGCTCGAGCGTCGTCAGCACCCCACGCTACGAAGAGGTGGCACAACACAAGGCGGAGCTGGAGGAGGTCAAAAAGGAAAACGAGGCCTTGAAACAGCGCATTCGCGATCTCGAGCGCATGATCAGGGGCGGCAATGACGCCGCTGACGGTCAGAGGGGTCGGAGGGGTGCACCGCAGTCGCAGAGCAGCGGGGTTGGCAATGCTTCTGATACTGTGCAAGCACCTGCTAATGAGACCGCAGGGGTCCCCTAATAAAGCTGTGAATAGGGTGAAGGAGATGTGTTTGTAGGGTATCTGTGAGAAGGATTGTTAATGGCGCAGGCCAGGCTCACGTTGCGTGTGCGATGGGATGGAACAGGAGTGTTCCGGCCATATCTTTACTTGTTAACATGGAGTTTGAGCGATCACGCATGGTATGCTATGCCAATCGGCATCCATACGGGCGGACATTTTATTCTAATTCTACCATTCTCATCATTCAATCAATCAATCAATCAATCAAGCTAAACAAAAGACTACTACTGATGCCATCACAAAGATAACCCCGAATCTTCTTTACTCCGCCCATTACCATTCCATGCATCCCCTTATCACAAACTTTGCTTCTTTCCCCCCCAACACGGGCATGACGGGATATCCGTAGATCTGTCTAGGGCTAGACGACTAACGCCGCTGATCCTCACGATATGCACCTAACGGAACAGCATCCTGGTGTCGATCTCGTTGTCCCCTTCTGACGGCAGATCAGCGACGCGGGATACGTGACATACGTAAGTGCAGGACACATTTGTGGCGTGATGTTGCGAGAGGTCGAATGGATGGATGGTGTTTAATGCCTCAGTTTTGGAGTGTCGTGACGTGACGCGGTGGAAGGGACGAGGCGCCACGGCACGGGCATGGGGGCGTGTAAAGTAAGCAGATAAGCAAAGCGAGCAAGCAAGAGCAAGTTAACGCCCCGCCGTGCCGTATGTACGTCATTTCTTGTTTGAAGGTGGAACAGAACAGCTTTCAACCTTTAATGGGGGCGGGACTGCATCGGTCGGGGTATTTCGGGGTCGGGATATATACTGAGAGTGGACCTTTCAACTTCCGTTTCGTGGTTGAGTTTCGGACTGATTTATACGAATATTGGTTGATATATCATTGCGCGAGACTGCTGTTACTACAACTTCTATCAAGGTACGATTTGACTTGTGTTGGATATCCAGACCGATCATGTTTGTTAAGAAATCAGGAACAGAACACCTACTTTCCGAGCCATCGTCGTACAATATGAACTGGCTATTCAACCTACGCGATAAATTGACTGGCAGCTTCGAGAAGAGGCGGAGGAGTAGCCAACACGTCGATGCCGGAAGCGATGGTATGTACATGGATAACATATCCCAGCCGATGTAATATCTAGACTTGGAGAATTGTGTATCGACATGCTAACAAGAAACTCAGCTTTCCCATCGAAGCAAGTACAGACACCTACAACAACAACAACGACAACAACAACGACAACGACAGAGCATAATCCCTCAACCCACCCTCAACGTCGTGCTTCCACGTCCGCCTCCCCACCCCCGCCTACATCTTCCAACCCTTCAACCATATCCTCTGCACCACAACGACCGCCTCTCCCACATATACCCACGGATATCATCACTGCGACGGAGAAAGGCATGATAGGCGCCCCCTTCTGCAGCATACCGAGTGACTCGTCTACGGCGTCGAGCCAAGGGCATGAGTCTGAGGCGAGGGATGTGATGGGTGAGGGGACGTTGCTGACGAGGGCGGAGGAGGCGTGTGGTGGGGAGGGGAGGAAGAGTAGTTGGGTTGGTGGGGAGAGGGAGGGTGGGAGGTGTGTTATGTTTAAGGGGGTTGATGTTTAGCTATACGGAGAGATATGGGGTAGGCGTTCTGGTTTGAGGCGTACACACGGGAAATGAATCTTTGAGGGGGATGGCTGTATGATAACGTGGAGGTCTTGATTGAGAGACATTTCTCATGTCTCAGTCTTACGGATTGAGAGGATAACTTCCTTTCCTGTCTTCCTTTCTCCCTTTCTCGTAGCTAGCCCAATTCATGAACATCTTGAAGCGCGCAAACGTAAAAACAATGCCATGACTATCCTCTAAGTCTCTCCTCAAACCCTCCTACTACCAGTCATCTTCCTATTCTCACTATGCCGCTTCGCCTTCAACGCATCCCGTCTCCTCTTCTTCCACGCACGATTCAAATCACCCCGGTTCTCCCAGAACCACTTTTTAAACTCGCTCTCCGGCTTCTCTTCTTTACCACCAGCAGCCGCTGCATTCTCTTCCTCGTCCCCTTCGTCTTCTTCCGCAACCTCAGCTAGCTTGGCCTTGGCATTTGCGCGCGTGTTCTGAGATAGGCGTTGCTCGGCGAGCGAGTCAACGTCGCCCATGTCTTCGTCGTCGTCGGCTTCTTGGCTGTTCTTGCGCCAGTCGAAGGAGAAGCGGCGGCCGAGGCCGGCGGTGTCGGGGGTTGGTGCTGCGCTGCGGAGGCCGCGCCATTCAATGTCTCGTTGAGTGAAGGGTGTAGTGGGGGCTTCGTCGATGGGCTGGCCGCGCTCGCCGTCGACTTCCATCGTGTCTTCGTTGTTGTCGAAGAAGCTGAAGGATGTGTCGATTGGGGTGAGCTTCTTGGTGGGAGTTGAGGTTGCGCCATCTGCGGGCTTTGCGCGTTTGAACAGCGCTTCGAGGGGGTGAACCTCTTTCTCGGACGATGTAGTTGGTTGGACTTCAGGCGTCTTCCTACTTTCGACAGGTCGAGCGGGAGAAGATGCAGATGATTCGGCCTCTGATTCTGATTCTGACTCTGAATCGGAGTCGGAAGAGTCCTCATCTTCAGAAGAAGACGAAACTACTGATGATTCGTCCTCGGATTCGGACGATGATGGCGGAGGAGTGGCTTTCTTCTTCTTCTGATCCTTCGTGGTCGTAGACTTTGCTGTCCCGTCAATCCAAGCCCTTTGAGCCTCCGAAGGCGCGTCTACCAGCTCCAGAGCTCGCCTAGCCTTGGCCTTGCCAGTCTCAGGCTCAACAACGACACCGTCCTCGTCGACCCAGCCCTCACCATTGACATAGTCGACTGCAGGCTTGGTAGACAAGGCGACCTGTGGCTGCTTCAGGAAGCTGGGAGTCTTGATGTTCTTCTCAAACTCATGAACGACCACTTCGTTTATCTTTGACTTGTTCTTTTCCTTTTTCTCCTTCTTCACCTTCTTCTCGTCCTTGTGCGCAACTTCGGTCGCAGCCACGGGTGTCAGCTTCGCCTTGAAGAGCAGCTCAGCATCCTTGGTGTACTTTGAAGGCTTCCGCTCCTTCTTCTCGTCCTTGTCACGCTTGTCCTTTTTGTCTTTCTTATCCTTCTTATCCTTCCTGTCCTTCTTCGACGGCTCAGTCCAACCGCGCTTGACTTTCCTGTCGTCTGGCAGCTCTACACCTTCCAGCACGCCCTGCTCCCTCTTCTTCTTCTCTTTCTTCTCCTTCTTTTCTTTTTTCTCCTTCTTCGCGCGCTTCGAGGGGCGTTCGGTGTCCGCCACCTCCTTCGCCGCGTCAGCCTCTGCCAGCGCCTTGCGCTTCTCCGGTTTCGCCATCTCTATCCGCACTTTTGCGCCTCTCAAGATTGTGCCGTTGAGCTTCTTCTTGATCTTTTGAGCCTCGGGTTCGGGTAGCTCTACGTAGCCGAAACCTTTTTCGGGGAATGTCGCGACGGTGTGGTACGAGATATTCTGCGCAGAGGGAAGGACAGAGGGCGCGACGTAGACCTTGAGCAGGTCGGGGCGGAAAGGCGTAATGTGCAGGCGGACGACCTTGCTTTCGGGTTGCGCTTCGGGAGAGTTAGGCGCTTGTGCTGCTGGCATTGGGTCGCAGGTTCGCGCGCGTGCGACAGGTGTAGATGACTGTGCGCAAAGACTCCAGGGCGTCTAGAGCAAATAATACGGGCTGCAAGCTTGAGCGACGCCTGTAAGCGTCGTGTAGAAGTGTCGGGGCCGGAGGGGAAAGGAAAATGCTTAGCGCGACAAGGGACCCAGCTGTCTGGTCTTAGCGTGTATGCGGGCGGAGGTTTGGAGCTCCACTCTGACCATTATCATGTTCATCGCGCGATAGACGTCTAGAACCAGATCAGATTGACATCTTGCTCGCATTGCAATTGATCCTTCGCTTGTACAGACTCAACACATTTATCTCGTTGTCACCACCACGATGCGAAGACCGCCATACCTGCTCTTCCTTCTCCTTACCTTTCTCTCCTCCCTCTCCCTGTCCCTTGCAGCCTGTACGTCACCCTTTTTCTCGTACCTAGACACTTCTTAACATCTCATAGCGCGTACGTCATTCTGCAAATGCACCTGCTTCGGCAACAGTACCATCGTAGCCCTCGACGCTCCCAGCACGAAGAAGCCCGCCGCCCTCGAATTAAAACCCCGCGCCTCCAAGAAGACATGTAACGACTGCAACCGCCAATTCTGCCTAGGTTATGGCTTCTGCGCAGGAGAAAAAGAGGAGAACGTGCTTACAACATGCTTCCAGAGGGACTCTGCGAAAGACCAGGCAGTCGTGTTTGTCTTCATTGGCGCGACGGTGGGGCTCTTGGGATGGGCGGCATTGCGGCCTTATGTTGAGGGATGGAGAGAGGTACGTGTAGATGAGCGAGGCCGACTTGGTCGGAAACTGACTGGAAACAGCGTGCACGGGAGCGTCGAAGCTACATCCCAGTGGCTGGTCAAGGGAACTAGCGAATTGCAAGACTGGAAATCGTTTGAAAATGCATTGATAGTGCAATATGGACAGGAAGCGAAGATACCCAAGATGATCGTTGACTCCTTCATAACTGCTGAAGAACTCCATCATGCATACATCTAATGTGACAGCAATGTACAGGCTGAGGTCGTATATAGTACACTGAAGCGTCTGGCTTCACTCTCCGCTGTCCTTCCTCTACTCTTTCTTCGATCCACCCTTCATGAATCCAAACCATCCCTTGCCCGTCTCCTCCACCTTGTGCACTGCCTTCTCTGCTGTATTGTCGAGCGGGCCTCCGACTACTGGTGTCGATGATGTGAAGGTGGATGTTGTGTCGTTCGCCCTGGCCTCTTGTACCGCAGCAGCGATGCCTAGGTTTGAGTTGCCTTGGGATTCTTGCCGCTTAATCTCCTCAACCGCCAGCTTTCTCTGCTCTGCGATTGCTTGGTCCTCCTTCCAGTCGCCGTGCAGCCACCATAGCAGCTTAGAGGGCGCCTTTCGCTCTGCCTTCTTCCTCTCCATTGCTTCTTGCTCCTCGGCGATACCTGTGACAAGAGCGGCTTGTGCGGGTGAGGCTGTTCCTGCTGCGACAGCGTTGCGGGCGGCTTCGAGGATCCTGGCTTGGACTCGTTCCTCTTCGGCGAAGTAGATTGCTCGTTTCCGTCGGTTGTAGACGATCATGTCGCCTATTGAGAAGACTGCGAGGACACCGACGCAACCTGTTCAGACAGTTAGCATCATTCCTACCCAATGACCAGTGCAGCCATTGGCTACTTGGTGCCCACATACCTGTTGCAAATATCAAGCCGTAGACGGTAAATCTATGCGCCGCATCCGCCGCCATTCTGCCGTACAAGTACATGTAATCCCACCTCGTCACCTGCGCCATCTTTGCCCTGTTCGCTGCCTCTCGTAACCGCTTGACCTTCTGCTGTGGCGTTTCGTTTTTCGGTGCGGGATCCGCGAATTGCAGCGTCGTTGCCCGCCCGCCAGGTCTTGTGTGCGCCCATACTCCGGTGGCTGTAAATCGCGTTGACTCTTTCGGTGATTTCGACATGGTGGGCGGAAGTGGGCAGAGCACTCGGAGGTCAAGTGTTGGGGGAGAAGGATGTCGTGAAGATGGCGGAGCGGGAGAACGAATGATTCGATGATTTCCAAAAGTCGAGATGGACTAGGGTTCGATGCGGAGATTTCCGCCCATCTGCCCGCTAACGTACATCGTCAACAATACCAGTGAACTACTTATCAGATCTTCTTCGTATGTGGATCGGGAGCTCGTGATACGTTGATTTGAGAGGGCAGTAGAATTCAGTATGAGCAGTGCAGGCCAAAGATTGCTTCTTTCCTTGTAATGTCCTTGATCTGAGCGCAAACACACGCCATGATCCAACGTGCCCGCATTCAATTAACACCACTCTTCCGACATCTTAGCATTGGAGAGTCTCCTTAACACCATCAAATAGTGCAGTCACGCTGTTGTCGCAGACATGGCGGGAAACGTCAATCAGAACCTGGATCTGGCGCAAATTTTGGCTACGCTTGCGAACCTGCCCAAACCGGAAGCTCAGCCAGTTCAGGATCAACAACAACCATTCGAGCCCTACCAGAGTCATCAGGGGTACCCGGAACCCCAACAGGCATATCCAAATCAGCAAAGTGCTCCGTATCAACAACCAGCTGACCCTCGTCTGGCTGGTCGCGCGCCTCCTCAACATCGACAGCCACCTCCCAAACCACAAGACAGAGTTTCTTCTCCGTTCATCGATCCTTCTACCATCACGGAATGGAAACAAGGTCTTCGCTGTGTGAGCAAGATAGCTTCCCAGAACCCAGACTTTGCTCCTGCGGTTCGCAAGGTAAGGCACACGTCTCTTATGAACCCACGTATAATGCTTACGAAATGGTCAGTTGATGAAAGATCAAGAGTCCAATGTTAAGTCTTGGGAGGCTGGACGCAAGAATCTGATCGATGAACACAAGTTCAAGCGGGAGAACGAACGGACTCATCGAGCTGCGCTGTACGTCACAAGACGTTTCTCATGATATGTGACTAACGTTCGCAGATCTTTACCAGGTCTCTTAGAAAATACACCCGCGCTTCGTGTACGTTCAAGTACACTTATGCTGATGGATGGCTACTGACGCGGCACAGACACCAGAGCGTGAGACAGAGGAACTGGACCAATATGACGCCAAGGTATATCGAGCCTCTAAAGCTATGGTCGACTCACAAACATCATCACTGAAAGTATTGGGTGTTCCATTCTTTGGTGTAAAGCCACATCTGGTAGTTGGCTCTAGCTACGACCCGACCGAAGTCACCGACTCGCAGCCGACACCGGCGGGCGGTAAGATATCCAAAGAGCAGCTTCTCGAATTACAGCGGAAGATGCTGAATCACCTGATAGAGCTGTACGGGGACTGAGGGGATCTCTTTACAAGATGGAGAAGCTTCGTTGCCACATAACTATCAGTATTCTGCCAGTGCTGACGGTGGGTGGTTGCCGGGCTTCGGACTTAGCTTTCTGGTCCCAGACCAAAATGTTCTGTTTCCTCACCGTATCCGTTCATTCACCACCCCAAACAGCCTCTAGCTGTAAGCGTCTTCATAAGGCAATATCGGCTCACGGAAATGACGTCACTTGCGCGATGTTACCAGCAACAGTGGAGAGCAAACGCGCTCCAATTTCCCATTCACTCGTCCCAGTAATCGCCCTCGACGCTATTGGCTGCTCAAGGGCCAATGGAGCTAGTGCCGTTGACCGCAATCGCTCTCATAACAACAAAACATTTACCTTTTGTGCAATCATCAGCTTCCACTCACCTCACCACGCTCGTTGAAGTATCTGATCCATTCCACATTCTTTTCTCTACTCACACTCGCTACTTCCCTCAACCCACTTCAACCCCAGTCGCTCCTTCCGATACAAACGTTCAGCCTCCAAGATGAACACTGTACGCGCACTCACCATGGTCGCAGTTGCCGGTAAACAGTCTCCAACCAGCGCGCTTACCCACTGTTCCACTCTTGCTAACTAATAATCAGCAGGCGCTGCCGCGGAGTCTGCCCAATGGAATCCCGCTATCAACCACGTTCTCGCTCATGCTGTAGCTGCACGTGACGACCACTGCGCCGAGCTCCCGAAGCTATGCACAGACGCGGTACTGCTACGTGGCTATGAGACTACCCTCACCTATCTTTGTCCCGAGAAGACCGAAGGTCCGTCTACCGTCACCATCACTACCACCAGGACAACCACTGTGACGGCAGACCAGAGCCTGACCTCTAGCGTTGCTCCTGCTCCCGCTCCTACCTCGGATGTCGGAGCTGCTCCTTCAGTGCAGCCTCTCCCCCACAAACCCGTCTCAGCCACTTCGGACGTTGGAGGTCCTCCCACAGAGGAGCCCACCACGACCGTGATCATTCAGTCAACAGTCCAAGTTACCATCACTAGATCAGTCATCAAGGTTAACCCCAGCTCTACGTCTTCGCTTCTGCCTCCCCCGTCCATCACTTGGTCTTTCACTGCGATTCTCCCTACCGATGTCAAATCCTCCCATGTCTCGGGCGGATCGCCGTCGGCGTCTCGCACTGAGATACCATCGATAGTGTCGTCCGTCGGTCCGCCATCATCTAGCAAGAGCAGGTCGGTTGGTCTATTCCCTAGCCATACTGTTAGCAGCTCGTCTTCGGTGGCTTCCACGTCTTGGTCAGCTTCCGCATCTTCGGCGGCTTCCTCGTCTGCGTTGGATTCCACATCTTCGGCTGCTTCCTCGTCTTCGATGGCGCGTTTACCGTCAGGTGGTCATCATGCTCCACCCTTTGCGAACGGCACCGCTATCAGCTACACCCCCGGCATCTTCCCCACGCTGAACGCAAGGGACGAAGAGTCCACGAGGACTGTCTACTCTACGGTTACCCGCCATGCCTCTGACCATGCCTCGGGCACTACTCATGCTTCAGAGACCACACACGCTGCGGCCACTGAGACTAAGAAGGGTCAGGCTGGAGACAATAGGGCCTCGTTCATTGCCTTGTTCTTCGGCGTACTGGCTGCTACCTGGCTTATCTAGGGAGGCGTAGCTATTCCTCTTGGATAGCGGCATGTTACTGTGAGAAATGGAAGTCCTGGATAACGTGTGCCACGGTGTTACGATGAGATGTGTGAGACGTTTTCACGAATGACACGACATGTACATAGTCATGACGACACGTCAACATATGGAGAAACTGAACCCTACGGAACCTGCGTTACCACGAAGTGACTCTAGCTCACTTACCTTATTCTAGTATGGTCTGCAGACTTGTGTATTTTGTTTCTTGCACGAAGTGGCAGTGTAACAGCCCTCTGAAGCAGATAGAGATCTCACAGGAAATGCATACTTGAACATGTGAATACTTCTTGATTCACAAGTGAATATGAACCGGCATAGGCTATCCCCGTCCACGGAAATCACTCACCCGCCACGCCACCGCTCTCATCTATCCCTCCATGACAGCAAAAACAACGGTAAACCCACACACAACGCTCAAAACAAAGATGTAGCAAAAGGTAATGAGCCCACCGCGACTTGAACGCGGATCTCCCGCAATGCTGAGCTGGCTTTGTGCCTATCTTATTTGTACCAGACAGAGCGGTCACTTTCACTTGACGGGATCCTGAAGTCAGTTCTCAGCTTTATTTCGCGCACGCTGAGACGATGCGCTGGCGAGCCAGCTCGTTGAGATGCGGGTGTCTTACCGTTGGACCATGGGCTCGAAGGTGGGAGGTTTGATGGAAGAGGGGTGGGTTGGAGGACTGATAGGTATGAAGTTATGGATCTGGTACATAGGCAAAAGGGATGTTAGAAGATGACTGCTAATTGTGTGCGTAGGCGTTTGGAGCGGTCTATATTCGATAGGACTAACTCACTCGCATATCACTCATTCCACCGCATCCATTCATCCACCCGCCTACCTATCTGGACCACCCAAGCAACAAAAAAGACATCATCACTCCGACCATATCCCTCTCTAACCTCCAGCAAAAAAATGAAGAAAAGGAATGAGCCCACCGCGACTTGAACGCGGATCCCCCACAATCTCGGTAAGGCTGTGTGCAGGTCATCATCGGCGAAGTCCCAAGAATCTGATTCGACACACTGTGAGAGCCTCAAGAAAGGCTTTGTACGCATTCGACAAAGGCCCAGGTGGTTTCTCAGCCTTGTTCGTTCGCACGCTGAGACGATGCGATGGCAGCCCTGCGCGGTTTGAGATGTGGGTGTCTTACCGTTGGACTATGGGCTCTGAGAGTGGTTTTGATGGAGGAGTGGGGCGTTGGAGCGGTGGTATTGTAGGGATCTGGTAGGTTGGGGAAGCGGAGTTTGGGAGTCGACTGACTGATAGATGGGTGAGGAGGTGTTTGGTGCTTCAAAGGTGCGGTCGCAGGATCGGGATATAGGTAATGATACAGCACAAAACGCAAGGAACAAAGCTCTAGTGTGAGCTGAACAACATGGGGGAGACCTGCTGGTAATTGTAACACTCTTCATTGTAGTTCATGTCTCCGTCAAGATTTCGCGAGCTGACTATATAGTAGTAAAGCTCATGTGTTTCATAATATCTCCGTCGTGGCAATACCGTAGCTATTTGCTACCTTCTCACAAGGCCCCCAGACCCCAGAAACACCGCATAGCTCTGCGCGCCAAATAGACCCCAGATTGTATCCTTCCAAACAACTCCGACTGATCCCGCTCAACGATGCTGGCTTCGCATCAAGTCATCTTGACATCGGTCTTGAGTTCCCAGTACTTGCCACCGATCATTGCAGTCGCCAATGCCGAGGCGCGCTTCGCCATTTCCGTCTCCTCGGTCTCGATGGTCATTTTCGCAACACCACCATGGCATTCAAACTTGCCGGCCCAGACATCTGGCCACTTCGGAGCGGAGTAGGCGTTGCTTGCTGTCACTTTCAGATGCCAGGACCCGTCGTAGCCAATGAGAAAGCCGGCGACGTGCTCGAAACGGTAAGCCTTCATAGAGGTATGATGCTCGAATGTGCCGATCTGGAGGGGTGTTAGCGATCGTCTGCTTGAAGGGTATGTGATGACTTACGAAGACCTCTAGACCCTTGCGCCAGATGACTAGCTGGACGTCCTTCTTGCCGAATACGGCCTTGAAGGTGTTGACCGTGGGGTTAACGAACGACTTGAGTGTCGCCGGCGAAATGTTGTATAGAGCGGTGACAACGGCATCTTGGAGCTTCAGTGCGCCGTCTTCTTTGATAGACGCAGCATACTCGGCAAGATCGAGAATGTGAGCATGACTGGGTGGGCCACTTGAAGGTAGGGTTTCGAAGTCGTCCGTGTATGAAGACGTGCTGCTGTCGCTCTTGCCAGAATCGCTCTTGCCTGGCGAATCGGGTTGAATGTCAGTACCGGCAGGGGACGGAAGACCGCTGCTGTCGGTGTCGATTTCCATGGGAGTGCTGTCGATATGGCTAGTCATTGCAGCGGTACGGCCGATAGGTTGCGCGTGATCTCGTGTGTCTTGTTCGAGATCGGTGTCAATGTTAGAATGTTGTAGCTGCAAGCGTCTGAATCTCGTAGTTACCGGCATGGTACAAGATATATGAGTACAACAGTTGGGCACGCTAGCTTCTGGTGAGCGATGAGATCCAAGAGAGAGGAGTGATGAGCATGAAGTCTGACGAGGAGCGATGAAAGATGATGGGTGAAGAGCTGCCCTATGTGAAGCGTGTAGGCGTTTGCCATGCGGGTCACACAAGTAGCGCTAGCGGGCGAGGTCGGTGAGAGCTCCTGGAAGGCGCGACGGTGGGGAAGGAGTGGACATACCGGTTAGTACACATATCTTTAGTAATTTTCGTTTGCAAATTGCAAGACTTTGATGCAACTTGGTGTTGCAGGCCGGAAGAGCTGGCGAGTGTAGTCTGAGCTCTGCATTAACAAAGGGAAGGTGAGATCAAAGAGCAGCAATTGTTGAAATGTGCCCTTCGAGATTGAAATTATTGGGAACAAAGTCATTGTTGCGCCTTGGAAGGGTCACGGCTTATCATAACACATGAGATTTCATGACAGGTTTATGATAGTAGATTCTCGAGGTGTATCAACTACTATAGAATGTAGGTGAGGCAGCTCACTTGGATCCTCACTCACTAAGAGTTCCCTCCCCTTTGAACTTTTTTGGATAGATGTAATTCAACGCTCAAGAGATCGGTGTTGATGCTGCATCAGCCATGAACATGACGATGTATCAATCAGCCATAGTGATCGCGATCTCCCGCTTGTACTCCATCTCGTCATCGCACTGCATGGAGATCATGGACTTGCTGAAGCCGTGCACGATATCTTCTTCCGTGATATCAGCGCTGCTTTCCCCGTCCCAGCGGCCCGGGATGAAGTTCTCTGACCATGCGTAGAGAAGTCCTCGTTTGGTAGAGGTATAAGACTTGGCAGACAGGAGATTCCAAGAACCATCAAAGTTGACAGTGCAGCGGATGACGTTGCTCCAGTACAGAAGGTTGTCTTCAACGTGTTCGAAGTAGTAGCCTACCTATACCGGAAAAGCCTTATCAGCATGGTGATGAGATCTCAAGTGTATCGGGTATATCCACTTACGAGAACTTGAGCCCCCTCTTTCCAGATGACAAGCCTGGCTCGTTTGTGATCAAACTCGGTCCACTGGGCGAGCTTGAAGTACGTAGTGCGCTTGTCGAGGAACTGACCCAGAATGTCCTTTGACATCTTGTAGAGTATAGTGGCAACTGCGTCTTGGATCTTGACATTGTGGAGTTTCTTGTCTTGACTCAAGTGCTTGGACCAGAGGTATGTATCGATGATATGCGGGTGGTGTACGGATGCACCTGCAGGAAGACGCTCATAGACGCTGAGGAACGGCACAGGGATATATTCGGCATCAATGGACTCGGTTGCATTGATATCGGAGCTGTTAGCAGTAGCCATCATGTCTGCCGTGATATGATGTGGGATTGGTGTATTGTGTGGGAAGTGGAAATTGATCCAAGGTTGTTTTTATTCATACCAAAAGCTTAGACCACGAGTAATAGCAGTACGCGGCGGTGACAGTACGCGCAGCCTGAGGTGAGAGAGAAAATCCCACTTCTAGCCAGTTACCAGTGAAGCTACATTTGCGTCATTGACATTTGGAACCCAGCCGGCAACCCAATTCGATAGGCACACTCGTGTGACTAAATGCGGGCTCCGTATTGACACACCAGTCTAATTTTTGACTGCTTGATCTGAGGAATTCAAAGACGGTCAGGTATGGAGATACCCCAAGATCACGGTCTACTGAATTAATGTGAGTTATCCGTGAAACGGTGAAGTCATGTAAGACCCGACTAAAGCTCCCGGCATCCAAAATGTGTACCGCGATATCTCTTCCACTCAGTCACTTGACTGACGACATGTCTCTAGGAAGTAGTGATCGTGCAAGCCCATTGATCGCTGTCCCAATACCTTCTTACCAACAAGTAGTCAGCGAATTTCCTGAGCAAAGGTCCCCTCGTTGGGTCTCCTTCTGTAGTCCTGTGGGGAGCAGCCAAGAAGCCACCATCGGTCGTCTTTCCCGCCCAGACTCCGTCCCAGCTTTGTGGAAAACTATCGCGATAAGCTGCATATGTTACCTTCCAGGCTCGGTGCAAATCGATAGTAAAACGGATAATTGTGCTGAAGTCTAACGTGTTTTGTGATGTATCAACAGTATACTGACCAACCTAAAAAGGATTTGTTATTGATGTGTATTCTTACAGTCTTTGATGGGTCGTGACTTACTACAACCTCGTTTCTCTTCTTCATGACGATAACACGAGCCCCATGAGGGTCGGACCTGGGTTTAAACTCGATTCGGGATGTCCCCGTACACGCGAGGAAATCGAGAAGAGTATTGCTTGTAACCGCGTTAAGAACCGTGACGACTGCATCTTGTATCTGGATATCTGTAACAAAATCGCCCTCGGTTATCTTGTGGGAACCCAGGTCGATGATGTGAGGGCAATCACGTGGAGCAGTCGAGGGAAGAACGGGACAGCTGTCGACAAACTCGATCTTGTGAATTTCGACCATCGTGCTTGAATAAACTGGAACAAGTCTGCTGGCAGACACATGGGTACTTGTATAGAGAAACTCCATCTGCTTGCTATAGAATGCGTGATCTTAGATGCCGCTTGCTTGGAGCACAAACGCGATTAAGACACACATGAGGCTATCGGAAGCTGTATGTTGTCATGATAGTATAAGATGCATCCGAATTTAGCTGTCCCCCATTATCCTGCGCAGCATAAGCACCTCGTGCTTTGTGACGAACACGCTGCTAAGTGCCGTTGAAGCATTAGTAGACGACTGTGACCCCATGTTGTCAAGCGCGTCAACCAGATCACGCACCTTTGCGCCCTCCCATCCTCCCTTGTCATCGGTCCAGAAAACGCGTTTGATGCCCACAGACGCCATGTAGGATATACATCGATAGCAGGGTCGGGAAGCCAGGACGGTGGGTCGCTTCTCGTCCTTTGTTGGAGACGGCGGGTGCTTGGTGCGGGCTGGCCTCGCCGGCTCTGGACTGATGAGCTCGTCGTGCAATGAACCTGTGGCAGGGCGCGATGGAGGTAGCGTCGCGACGTCTTCGTCTGGCTCTTCGCAGGACACCTTCAGCGCACATTGCCAGCCCAGTCTTACGACGTACAGATCGGCTCCATTCAAACGCGGGCTCTTGGTCCTGTCTTTGAGATTGCGAGAATTTTTTCCAGTTTGTCCCTTTGGCATGAGCATTGGCTGAGTCCTGGCGGTTGGGGGATTCTGTCTTTCATTCTATAACAGTTAGCATGTGTGATAACAGAGCTTGGACGACGCACCTTCCCTGCTTTATCACGACTATTGAATGACACTTCCGGCGACGAAGACGCTTCAGAAGCGCTCGACGTTGGAGACTGGTTATAGCATGGAGCTACAATGGTCTGCTTACGCGCATGTCGTCGACTGTTGTATTTGTGTTGTCCATGGTTGGACTTGTTGCCAGGCTTGTGATGATGATTCTTCCCGTTCTTCAGGCGGTGTTTCTCCGTACTGTTCACTCCCGATAAGGCCACATTCTCGTTCTTCTCCTGGTCGTGAAACACAAGGTTCAGTCTCGCACGATCCAGATGCAGAGGATTCAAATCGCCACTCTTGAACACCAGACTGGGCACTGCCAGAGGCTGCGGTGGACTGGGCCAGTGCGGCCTCGCAGATCGCTTTGACATATGAGTTGATTGCTTCCCTTCGTAGTCGTGACTTTCGTTTAGAATCACCCGATAGTTTAAAGCACGGTTTTTCGGAGGACACCGCGCTAGAAGCCAGCGTGCTAGAAGCCGAGAGAGCAGAGTGGATCGCCATCATCTCGCTATGCATAGATAACGGAGTGTTGGCGAGCTTTCCTCCACCGCCCATGCTTTCAAACGGCGTGAACGTCTTATTTAAACGGCCTTCCGGTAAACCTAACTCTCGCTTAGTCGAAGAGCGCAGTGGGAGGCGCCCGGTCTTCAGGGCACCACCATCAAAGCCAGAGCGATGATCATTGTAGCCCTGACCAATGACTTTACCGCCACGGACTACGATGGCCCCATGGCGGTAGCGTAAAGGCGACTTAGCGGCCTGCTCGAGGCAGAGGTTGAGGTAATTGTCAGTCTTCATTTTGGTGGATGGCAGGTATGACTGGACTTTGGATGAGATGCGGTTAAAGGCTGGTATTGCGAGTGAGCACTGCGGATCTTTGATTTTCTTCGGGATGATTCTGATAACAGAGTCGAATTTGGCAGCTAGTAGGACGTGTTCTAGATGCACAAGGAAGCAAGGGGATGAGTCTTGACGCGCAAAGAAATGGCACACGGGTTAGCGTCTTGGCAACACTCAAGCTTCACGCGCTCTTCCCTCTTCACACCTCCATCGCAGACGAACGCGTCATCGTGGAATCGCAATCAGCCTGCGCAACCCTATGATTTATACGAAAGTTATTGTATATACAAGAAGTCCCAATGATCAACAAGCGGACGCCTACTCGGCCCAGACAACCGCGCTGAGACCGTCCTCGTTCTCCGGAATGCCGGCAGCTCCGATCCTAAGGTCCGCAACGCGCTCTCCCAACTTGCCAGTCGCCGGATCTCTTGGTACGATAGCTACGTTCGAAGTGGTTTGATCGCCAATGGCGACGAAGTCACCGGCCTTGTTGATGTCGAAAGTACGCGGGTACGTGCCATAGGACGACGTGAGGGCTGTCCATGTCAGGCTTCCGTTAGGAGAGATGCTGAATTGGGTAATTGAGTCGTTCGGCCTGAACTTCTTGTCGTTTCGGTTGCTGGTGTAAACGAAGTTTCCCTTGACCTTGATCTCACCAACCTTGGTGCCAGAAACGGCGGTGGCATTGCCTTGGTACGGTGTGAGCGTCTGCTTCAGGGTCAGAGACATGCAGCCTCCCGATGCGGGGTATGACACCGCCCATGCCGACACGCTGTTGGAGAGCTCGTTGGCGATGAAGAGCACTGTGCCGTCTGCAGCCCGGCGAACGCGCGAGTTCGCTCCTGCTGGTGCCCAGAAGGCGCCGTGTCTTGGTCCCGTCCCAGGTGGCGGTAAAGCAGCACCGCACTCTGTAAGATTGCCAGTTGTCTGATCGATCTTGTTGATCCTGATCTTATCGGTTCCGAGATCAGGTACGATCAAGAAGTCGCCAGACGGGTCCACAAAAGCATGATGCGGGTGGGGAGCTTCTTGTCGGTAAGGGTTGACACTTTTACCAGTGTACTTGATTGTCTGAAGCGGCTGTCCGCCGTTCAATGGCAGCTTGAAGGTTGTCAACTGCGAAGTTTGGCTTTCGGTTGGTTAGCAATATTTCTGTCTACTCAAGGGCTGCTGACTTACTAGTGCGCATTGGCGATGAAGCTTCTTCCGTCCGGACCACCATATAGCGTTGTCGCAACTACACCTTGAGGTGTAGAGCCCTTTCCGATTGAGGTCACGTTGCCGTTCGCACCCGTGGAGAAGGACACCAAGTTTCCGCCTCCTTGGCCCTGGAAGACCTCATCTGGAATATAGAGCGCCTTTCCAGCACTGTCGTACGTGATCCAACTAGGCAGCTTGTTGCCAGTCGAGGCCGAACTACTGAGAGTCAAGGCATTGCTGTTGAACGCCAGGTAGTTGATGGTGCCAGAGTAGTGCGTCGCCCACAAGTTTGCCGCACTTGCGGCCGTGCCGAACAGCGGTAGAAGGAGTGAATGCGAATGGACCATGATGATTATGGTTTGCGAGTCAGGATGTATCTGTTACTGACTTTGAAGCACAGGGAAGTAGCATCGTTTTGTATGTTCGACGTGTGTTCTTTGACATTTCCACCAGACCGCCTTGCGTCACGCGCCCGCACTCGACATTTCGGAGCTACGACGATGAAACACCTGACTACACCCTCTTGGACTAAACAACCGACTCCATCATGCGTTTTGCTGAAAGCGAGGGTGCCACTTCAGCCTCGGTGAGTATGCGATTGTCCAAGCCGGTTAAAGGCCGCACGTCGGACAATATATAGCAATCTACAGCCATGTTTCGAGCAGGGGTACAACGTTTCAGCCGGTTGCCGACCCCAGGTTGATCAACATGGCGAAATTGCAGTAGCCTTGCATTTCGGTCTTTCATCTCGGGCACGCGCATGTTAAGATCTCTTGGCCAGGCCTTATACCGGGAATGCAGCCGCCACGCCGCTGCCCTATGTCGGTACGTGGATGCGGCTGCAGCGCACCTGGACACGTGTGTGGGTATAGACGAGGTGGCATTTCTTAATCTTTCTGCGACCAATCTCTGCCAAGAGGTAAATCAAGCTGAAGCCACCGCTTCTTGGTATAGCCGTAGCTTGGAAGTTGTCGTGCGATGGAGGCAAGATCTGTTATTACCAGTACCAAATCCTCTTGGAATCCCCACGATTC